TTTTGACTCAAAAGTTGAAAAGCTAATAAATCATAATGAAACACAATTGTGTTTACATGTATGTTAAGTAATAAGTAGGTATCTTTCCAACTTGTAAAATGTAACCAAGACAGAAAATAATAACTAAGCTACAGTTTTAAAAAGAGGAGGTGGAGGTGATGAGGATCCTAAATCCCAAATATGTGAATTAAACTATTTCAATAAAATTAACATTATCTACTACATCTGCAGCAAAATATTTGTTTTTCAAGGACTAAAATTGGCTATTAACCTTGCCACTTTCTTTCACCTCCTAAGAGAGTCAGGAGTTAGGAAAACTCCATGCAGTGCTCCTTCTGAAATGTGGCATTAGTCATTTTGTTACCATTTAGGGAAGTAAAAATCTTTCTGGATCCCATGTCAAAGAGTGTCAAAGTTTCTAGTTATAAACAGCACCAAATATATAAATGTGGGATGGCTGTAGGTTCCCAGGTCACTGAGCTAAAAACCATTATAATAATGAGCAAAGTCACCTGTTTTCCTTTCCCTTCTAGAAAGGCTTTATTTTGAGTAATTACAGTGTTATAGGAAAATTGAGTGGAAAGAGAGTTTCCATACACCCTCTGTCAGAGCACATTGCCAGAACTTAGAGAAATGCATTTATGTCTTTCCATACTGTCAGAATATTTATTGAATAGCAATATATTCCCAAGGTAAGTCCATTCCATTGACAGCAATTTGCCAATAGTCCTACTTTCTTGATAGCTACCCAAGCCAAAAATAAAAATCTTTTATTTAAATCTTAACCACTAATAGTGACTTTCAGATCACACATTCCTCATGACACAGTAAGTAAAGCCACATATGTGTGTATATGTAGGTTGCAGAATGACTACAGAGGGTAAAAGAGGCCACAGCAGAGTTCAAGGAGTTTCACAGGGGCCTGAGGGGCAGAAGGAAAGGAGTCTCTGCAGGGGTCAGATAACCAGCCCTGCAGGGGACTGCAGGAGATGCAGCTGGAGTTAGACCACTGCCTGCTCACAGGTTTGAGCCAGAGCTTAGCTGAGCTGCAGAGGTGGGCAGAGGGACCCTGGAGGTTGCACAGGCAAAGGGCAAGACAGAGTCCAAATAGATCAACAAGTGAATGAATGGAATTCAAGTAGGCCTTGACAACTGCCAGGACTGAGCTAAACTGAAGCTCCTGGGGCTGTTGGGACCATTTGGACAGTCTGGGATGTCTCTGTCTATTGGTTTCTTGACACTGTGGGGTCAGATGACAGATCAATGAGATCATCACCATGACATGGCTAGTGTCTTCCTCTTTGTGGGGTCCAGGTAAGGACCTTTCTTCTGTCTGCTGTGTCTAAGTCCTTGGGCCTGGTTTTCCTAATATGATTTTCACATGTCCATATACCCCTGAAATTCCACTTCACCTTGATAAATTTATAGGGTGGAAACTTTTCAGCTTTTAGGAAGTTGTTTCAGTCTGTGCCTCATGGATGGTGCCGGGCAGATGGTGCTATTTATGTGTCTGCCAAGGTATAGTCATCCTGTCTCTGGGTCTGCACTCCAAATGGAGCCAGATGCTACTTATAATGGAGTCTCCCAGGGCAGGGCACAGCCTGAGAGCCAGTGTTTTACAAAAGTAACACAGGCAGGAAACAGCCTGATCTTAATGCATGTCTTCCTCCATGGTTCCCATTATCAACATCCTGCATTAGGCAGAACAGTTGTTAAACAAGAGAAGATTAAATGTTGATTCATTGTTATGAGGCAGAGCAGAAGTTTGTGGCTCACTCCTGGCAGTGTGCCTTCCTTGGGTCTGGACAAATGGAAGGTGACAAGCACCCACCCTTACTGTGTCACACAGAATTCCTTTGTCCTAAAGCCCACCTGTGCTCCTATACAGACTGCAGCCCAGGAAGTCCTGGGTTCCCTGATGTCCCAGAACTCTTCAAGTTCTGATGTAGGCCTCGACAAAGGACAAAGCTGGCCCCTAGAGCTTATCACTCTAATGCTGTGATGGCCACCACTCAAGGAGGGTTGAAAGTCCTGAGGTATTCAGTGAATTCTGTTTCTGTTATGACTGAGAGAAAGAGAAAGTTCAGGAGCTCAATACCAATGTTGGCTATGTGGCCAGCTCCAGTCCAGCAGGAGCTCATGAAGGCTTGTCTCAAAAAATCCAAAGCAGAGGCTGGAGAGGTGGCTCATTGGTTAAGACCACTAGGTTGCTCTTGTAGAAGACCAGGATTGGAATCCCAGAACCCACATAGTAGCTAACAACTGTCGGTAACTCCAGTTCTAGGAGATCTGATGCCCTCTTCTGTCCTCCATGGGCAGTGCATGACATGGGCTCACTTACATACATGCAGACATAACACTCATACATATAAAAATAAATTGAAAAACAACAACAACAAAAACCCAAACCTAATAAACTGCATACTCCACAAGGTCAAGGTGTAATACACAGCAAAACTCATGGGAGACAGCTGTGCCCTGCCCAGCCTGTGAGAACGGGCTTTGGAATCAGCTAAGAGCAGAAGCTGAAGGTTTGATGTAGGTTTTTCTTTTGCATCATTGGGTTAGGTGGAAACCTGTCAAAGCTGTGACCTCGGGAAACGCTGGTGCTTTTGATGAGAGCAGAGGAATGCATGTGGCGCTGCCCTGAGCTCGTTCTCCCTGAACAAGTGCCTCAGTGTTCTTGGGGTGACACACTTACCTAGGCAAGCCACTATTTTCATAATGACATAAGGACAGTTACTCTTTTGAATTTTATTTATTATTTTTATTTTATGGGTATGCATGTATTGCCTGCATGTGGGTAAGCACACCCATGTCGTGCAGTGCCAACAGAGGTCAGAAGAGGCTGTCGGATCCCCTGGTATTGGAGTTACGGACAGTGGTTAGCTGCCATGTAGATGCTGGGATTCAAACCCAGGTCTTCTGTAAGAACAACCAGTGTTCTTAACCACTGAGTTATCTCTCCAGCCCCAACAACAGTTACTCTTGGCTCTTAGTCCTCACGTACTACGTATTTGTGATGTGTTTAAATGCCTGCTTAAAAATTTTACCCAAATAAAACTGGTTATAATATATTATGTAGTGTGTCACTTCTTGTACTGAAAATTTTTCCTGGACAAGTGCCCCAGTGTTCTCTGGGTAAGTGGACACACTTACCCAGGAAAGCCACTGTTTTCATAACAACAGTTACTCTTGGCTCTTAGTCTTCACCTACACACTTGTGATGTGTTTAAATGCCTGCTTTCAAGTTTTATCCAAATAAAACTGGTTACAATATATTCTGTAGTGTGTCACTTCTTGTACTGAACATTATACCTGTGAGATCATTCCTGTTGTTGCCTAATATAGTGCTTTGTTCAGTGCCGGATAATATGCCATTGCATTAATATAATATGTTTCCATTCTATTCTTTTTTAAATATATTTTATTTATTATTTTTATTTTATGTGTATGAGTGTATTGCCTGCATGTATGTGAGTACGCCTGTGTTGTGCAATGCCACAGAAGTAAGAAGAGGGCTTCGGATTCCCCTGGAACCTGAGTTAAGGATGGTTCGTAGCTGCCATGTGGGTGCTGGTAATCAAACCTGGGTTCTCTGCAAGGGCAGTCAGTGCTCTTAACTGCTGAGCCATCTCTCCATCCCCCTCCATTCTATTCTTAATGGGCATCTAAGTGTCTAGATTGGCTATTAAAAATATTATTTTTGGTTTACATAAACACGTTTTAAAAGAAATACAATGTGAATATAATTAACATACCATAATTTAACACCCCTAAAACTTAGCTGTACCAATGTTCTTTTAGCCAGTGTAATGCATGTTTAGTGGTCTGTATGGAATTTTCCTTGGTCTCAATTTCATTTTTAGTTAATGAATAGTGCACACAAATATCACATTTACTCTGGTGGAGCTCAGGTCTTTTTAAATATATATGTATATTATTGATTTTTTGTGGCTTTCATACAATACACGTTAATCATATTTAGCCCCCCTTCCCTATCCTCACGTCTGATAGCCCTCTCACAGGAATTCATGCATTTTGTCATATATGTTAAGGCCTGGGGAGTCAAGTTTGTGTACCCAGATGTCCCTCGATGTAAGTTCATCCACTGGAGCCTGTTCAGCCTGTCTAGAGTCACTCTCTTAAAAAAGATCAGCTCTCCCTCACCCATCAGTGGTCAGCTTCCATAGTTCCTCACCTAAGTTGCGGCCTCCTGCCATTTCCCCAGTTCTATGCTGGTTTTGTCTTTTGCAGGAGTCTTGTGCGTGCTGTCACCACTGGAGCTCAGCTCTTTATTGGCGGTGTCCACTCCACAGTGGGAGTCTATCGCACTTTGTATCTCTATTATACTGGACACATGGCATTTCTCTACGTATATGGCATGTTTATTTCGCTATTATTATTTTTGCATTTGTTTGTTATACTCAATCATACTGTTGACATGCGTGTTCAAATTATTTATTATAAATAATGATGCAATGGAAATTCTCATCTGGAATTGCTGTTTCTCTAAGACCATGTATCAAGAAGCAGAATTGTTGGCCTACATAGGTCAAAGAGCCTATAAATACATGACTTTCTTTTATCTGTCTATATTTCCACAGGCTCTCCTTCCTGACAAACACCAGGTATCAAATATCATCAGAATAGCCAAAGAGGCTCTATGCTTAAAAATAGTCTCAAAAGTAAAATTCTTCCTCAAATTAGTAACAGCTACTTTCATGAAGGTAGTATTTTTTTTCTTAAAGATCCAATGATTATCATAGAACATTTTAAAACTCTAAAGCATTTATCAGTTTTATTATCTCATTTATATTATACTAAATTTCACGTCCACCCCTCTTCTATTTTATTATAGACTTCATAAGCTCAAAGGGTAGGAATGAGGAATAGCTCATGAATCTGTCTGATAAGCCTGGCAGTGTTTACATAAAAAGCAGCATCAGTGTGGAAACGCCCACAGGCTATATATTCTCTCTTCCTTTAAAACTCCTGAATCTGGCAGATACTCTTGTCAGCACAGTGATGGGTGCTTCAGAGGTTTCGGTGAGTATGTTAAAGGAGAAGCTCAGCTTCTCAGATGGCCTGCAGGAGGGAGAAATGGGTATGTGTTTAATGAAATCTGAATAAACTGAAAAGACTGAGAACTTCTCCAAAGAGCAGGGGAGTTGCTGAGCCTCATGCTAGGGTCACAGCGGTCTCTGCAGGAGGGGAGCTGCTTGGGGTGGAGCTCAAGGGCCAGTAGGAGTTTAGACCCCTGCTTGTGTTGGATGTGAGGTTGTTACATTGGTTACTCTGTTGGAGTCTTTAATACTTAAATGTTTCTGGGGAAGGGCAATGAACAGTGAATTAGCCTGGAAGAGCATGAGGCAGTTTCTTCTCTGTGCTTAGCTTGTTAGTCCATTCTTGCCCAGGAGTCTGGGGATTCCCACTCTGATCAGTCCTATGAAGCTGGTACATAGCATGCTCTCCATTTCCCAGAGTGAAGGCAAGCACAAATAGCACAGCTTCATGAGGTGCATAGGAACAGCAGAGCCTGGGATGCTGGGACTTGTGGTTGGCAGGTCCACTGGAAGTAGAGAACTGTAGTAATGTGGGGTGGGAAACCTAACCCTCAGGTAAAATCCTCTGGCATTTTTGCCTTATGATGAACTTTAGAAAAAGAACACCTTGGAGATTTCTGTCCCCAGCCCATGGCCACCCTGTTAGGTTCCTGGCAGACTCATGAAATGGTAGCATAGCTCCCAATAGTTTAAAATAGTAGATTTAAACTAGCCCTGGAAAGTCCCTCTGCTCATCAGGAGACCAAACAATCCTGATTGATATGAATATATAGATAGATACAAAGGTAAAATGGTTTTTGCTTGGCAAATTCTCACAACAAATGCTAAATTTGTTTGTGAATGTTACTAAGCAAGTATATTGAAGGTCTGAGCAGGGTTATAGAGATACAGAGCTGTTATAATACTGTTATAACCAACAATTTCAGTCCACTCCCCTAGCTTGTGCTGCACACCCAGATTTGGATTAAATGGATACAGACGAGTATTGGGTTACCCATGGCTAATTAAAGATGTCCTTTATGTTTCTCTGTATTATGCAAATGTTAATTTTGGTGCTTTCTTTTGCCCATAACAAGATAATTTGACTCAAGAGGAACTAGGTTTTACCTTCTTGGACTACATATATACAGTACAGAAGGAAACTGAATCTTGATCACCTTATTTTTTGTCTGTAGGTATACGATGTGAGCCCCCTCCTTCCTTTGAAAAAAATGTAAATCAGCATATTGGGGATTGGAAAAGAAAAGAGACTGTTTCTGTTTGTAGTAGAACAACTTTTATTTAAGATAGACCTCAGAAAATTATTTTAAGTTCCTTTCCTGGGCTATGCCTACTTAACCTGTGATGTAGAGGGAGTTCCTTCAATTTCTAATTTGTTAAAAGTTGTTATTGTGGGTTTGTATTAAATTTTTTTACCTGTTTATGTACTGAAATGCACCAGTTTTTTTTTCTTTTCTAATTTCATTAATAAGCCAAATTGCATTTTATTTATCTATACAATTCTTGTTTATTTATTTATTTATTTATTTATTTATTTATTTATTTATTTATGGAAAGATTTCATGTAGTCCAGACTGGTCTGAAACTTTCATTGTAGACAAGACGAGACTTGAATTCTTAATCTACTTCCCCCACCTCTCAAGTGCTAGGATTACAGGCATGCACCATCATACCTGGATCACTGATTTTTTTTCCCAATGTTTCCTTCAGTCCTCCAGCCAGGTCTCCTCCAATGGATCTAAATCTAAACAACATTTTCCCCATTTCATTGTGATTTTAAATCTTTTTGCTACTTGCTCTTTCATTAGCACTTATTTCAACAAGAAGATTCTCTGATAAAAATATTGTTTCCATTGTCTCCAGTCTTGTTTGCTCCATGGACATCATTTTTGGACCAGGACCTCCTGTGAGAGGGGTTTCTATACAAGCCAAATAGAGAGTTGAATCTGTGGCAAACTCATTCTGTTCTCCTGAGGAGATTCTTGAGATTGACATTCTGGTATTTCTATTTTGCAGGTAAAAACCTCCAGGGAAAGTGTCTATCACTTGTGTCTCCTCTGATACCCGTCAAGCTTTCTTGCTGCTGTCTGTTGACCTCAGTCTTCACTGCAGCTGTAGTTGGGCTTTCTGTTGCTTCGTCAGGTAAGTTACTCATTCTTCAAATTGTGTTTTCTGTCACTTAATATGCAAAGATGTTTTGAAGTTTTATTTTTAAAATTGCTCTATCCACAGTTTGTCAATAATACTTACTAAGGGCCATCGTGTGCCAGGCACTGTGGGAAGTGCTTGTGATTAAAAACACATGCAACATTCCTATTCTCTGGGAACTTACAGTCTAGCAGGAAGAGGCAGGCAGTAATAAAGAAGTGAGGGCGTAGAGCAGGTTTCAGGATGCACAGGGAGCCAGGTCAGCCGCCCTGTTAGGGGAGAACGGGAGAAGGGAGAAGAGCTATGTGGGAAACTGTATAGGAATCACCACAGTAAATGACAATGATGATGATGGTGGTGGTGGTGGTTATGGAAATTCATGCCTGATGATAACAGCAGAGGTGGGGGCAGTGTGATGAGAGCCTGGATAGTTTGGCAGTTGAGCCAGCAGTATTTCATTCTAGTTGAGCATGGAGTCTTGGAAACAAAAGTGTCAGAGTTAGAGCCAAGAGTCGTCTTTTGAGTGCCTTTGCCATACATGAACATGAGCAAGCTGTGAGGACAGGAATTCCATTTATGGAGTTCATTCCTGGCATGTACCAGTCAGATGTCATTTCATTAGAAAACAAAGAATGACTTCAATTTGAAATATTTTTAGAGGAGTTTAATCATTGCACTTTAAAACTTTCTATTTTGAATGGGGCGTGGTGGCTTACGCCTTTAATCCCAGCACTTGGGAGGCAGAGGCAGGTGGATCTCTGTGAGTTCAAGGCCAGCCTGGTCTACATAGGGAGTTTGAGGACAGCTGGCTGACCTACAGGGAGACCCTGACCATTGACATATACAACTCTATACTTTGGAGGAAAATCCTCACCCTGTGTACACAGAAGGAGATAAACATTTAGGTTGCTTGGCACATTTAAGGATTGCCTAGGAAAAGATTATTTAATACTAATATAGATA